GCCAATAATGGCGCCAAGAGTGCCAATAACAGTGATGTTGATAATAATAGCAATGGGAGTAGCAAAAGTATTTACATCAAAAGCATTAATGCTATTTATAATGGCGATACCATAAGGGCGATAATCATAACCTAAGCAACAATTGTAAGAGAGATAATGACGATAAAAGGATAGATATATAAGGGATGGATAATATAAAGGGAATTACTGTGAATCGTTGTTATCTAAGTGACAGAAAGTAAACTAGAAATAAGTCGCGAGAATAAATTTAAGAGTGAATTTGATAGATAATCGATTTAATAACAAAAAGATTATCAAAGAGATTAAGCGCTGGGGTCTACGCTATCATTATTTATCCATCCATTTTCTTACCTACCTGTTTATCTATTTACGCTTTTATTTATGTATCCTTTTGTTCTAGCGATCGCCGCGGAATTATTCACAGTGACCGTTAATGAGTCATTTCGAGATGAATGAATTTTTCACGAGCGTTTTCAAAGAACACCGTGATACCGTGTTGAATTCCCACCCGCGGTAAGACAGGTTCCAACGTTACAACAAGGTCTTCGGAGAAAAATATGAAATTAATTATTTGGCGTTCGAGCCGTACTTGTCTTCTGCATTTTTAAAACGTTTTGCGTTCGGGATTATGAAAGATATATTGACAAAAAGAGAAATATACATGCCAGTTAACCTTGTCCGTTACACGTACTGTATTGCGCAAGGAAATATGTCTTTTGCAATTCGAATAAGTCATTGTGATTTTATCTACTTTTATCGCTCGGGCTCATGTCGTTTGCGAATGAGCGCCATCTTGATGCAGTCATCTTCATCACCAGCGACATTGTTGCGTGAGTTTCATTTATCATTTTGGAGGTTTCCTTTTCCTTCGTGTGTACTTCAATTTGTTTGTGTGTTCACACACACACACACACACACACACACACACACACACACACACACACACACACACACACACACACACACACACACACACACACACACACACACACACACATATATATATATATATATATATATATATATATATATATATATATATATATATATTATATATATATATATACATACATTTATGTTAATAGATATATGTATATATACATATATATACATACATATATATACATATATTAATATATATATATATATTTATATATATATATATATATATATAATATATATATATATATATATATATATATATATATATATATATATATATATATATACATATATATATATATATATATATATATATAATATATATATATATATAGCAATCCATACATATTCCTCCTAAGCCTCCCTCCCCGATGCCTCCCACTCGGCGGCCGCCAATTCCCTCCACCTTTCATGGCGCGGGAAGCCGACAAGGCCAAAACATCCATACATGCAATCTGTACCAGGGCTCGGAACCGTGTATCACTCAACAATTGTGTTATATAAAGAACTTTCCGTTCTTTTTTTTTTTTTTTTTTGTCTCTCTTTTTCTAACTTTGCAACGGATATCTATTTTTTTTTTCTCTATCGTTTTTTCTTCTTCATTTTTGCTCTTTCTCCTTTCAGTTTTTTTTTAAGCGAGTTTCCGGTTGCTAAACGCACTCGTCGAGGAAAAGAAATGTTGTAGTGGATGTTCGGGAAAAAAGAAACAACAGCTGAAAAATGTTTACGTTTTCTCTCTCTCTCTCTCTCTCTCTCTCTCTCTCTCTCTCTCTCTCTCTCTCTCTCTCTCTCTCTCTCTCTCTCTCTCTCTCTCTCTCTCTCTCTCTCTCTGTGTGTGTGTGTGTGTGTAATTGGGCGTGGTAATAGAGTAATTAAATTATTAAGTTTTATTAGTACTATCGCTCATCTTCCTTTCCTTCTCCTACTGTACTAATCTCTCTACTTCATAGCGTAGATAATTTCAAAAGGCTATTCAAAGAAAACGGGATATTGCACTTACGCGCATCCTCCATAGATGGCGTTGAAATTTCCCTTTTTGTCAACAGATGGTGCTGAGATATCTTCAAATGTGATTTAAAAGAAAGTGGAAATTGGAAAACAATTTCCATGTTTATCGTGTCTTTATTTGGTAATATTACATAATCTCTTCCATGTTTAACGTTTCTCTATATTTTCTTTTTCTTTCTTTCTTCGTCTGTTTTCCACGTACAGAAAAGAGAATATTCAACTGTATCAAAAGCTTATTGTATTATCTCCTTTCAGTCACACTGATTAAAAGAAAAGATAAATAAAAACAAAGCCTTTCCGGCGACCTCACTGTTTTCCCCATCATGTCGGATTTAATTATGAAATGAGACCAAAAAGTTGCGTGAAATAAATGTGTATATCATTTTGGTCTGGCTTTCCCGCTTCCTCGATAGATGGCGTTGATGCGGATCTCTTGTTCTCTGTGTGTGTGTGTGTGTGTGTGTGTGTGTGTGTGTGTGTGTGTGTGTGTGTGTGTGTGTGTGTGTGTGTGTGTGTGTGTGTGTGTGTGTGTGTGTGTGTGTGTGTGTGTTGATGGACAGGTAGATAAACATATGCAATGTGTAATTCATTTTTAATAGATGTCGAGGCCCATGTTAAAGATAATTCAAATCAAATATGGTTTTCTGTTAATTTACGCAGCACATCCCTTGCATCTTTCTGTCGCTTCAATAATTCCTCTTTAGATCTTCCACTGAGACCCAGATAAAAATTACCCGAGAAAAACTTTGGCGTTACAAATTTTCCATAATTCTTACGCATTCCAGTTTTCCATCAGATGGCGCAAATTAAAAAAGACGTTTGTTTTTTTTTCTCTCTCGATAGATGCCTCTGCTGGCACCCAGAATTTAAAAACAATAATCCAAACTAAAAGAAACTTTGGCGTTACAAATTCAACATATTGCTTACACCTCCATAAAAAAAAACAATATTTGTATTTTTCTCAGCAGATGTTTTGCTGAACCAAGATGGAAATAATACAAAGGAAAGGAATCTGGCTTCACATATTTATTATGTTTCGTACATCCCTATTCCGCCAGATGGTGTAAATCAAAAAGATGTTTCTTCTTTCTCTCAATAGATGCCTCTGCTGAAACCCAGAGTTCATAAGCAATGACAATCCAAAAGAAAAGAAACTGACATTACAAACTTTATGTTTCCTATACACCCCTGTATCTTCTACAGATGGTGGTAATACATAAAAATAATCCAAAAGAAGACATTGGCATTACGAACTTTATATGTTTCCCATACATCCCTGTATCTCCCACAGATGGCGATATTTTTTTTCTTCTACTTTACAGTAGATGTCTGTTAGATCAAAATAATCCAGAGGAAAAGATATTGGCGTTACAAATAAAACCTATTCATAACACCCAGTTTCTTCTACAGATGACACCAATAACCAAAGATGTTTGTTCTTTTTCTCAAGTTTCTCCTACAGATGATGCCTCTGTTGAGACCCAACGTTTAAAACAATTATTGATAATCCAAAAGAAAAGAAACTTTACCGTTACAAATACTAATTTTCTTACACATCCCAGTTTCTCCCAAAAATAGCATTACAAAATTTGTGTTCTTTTTCTCAATAAATGTTTCTGTTGAAACCTTCTAAAAATAACCCAAAAGAAAAGAAACTTTATCGTTACAAATACTATATTTCATACACATCCCAGTTTCTCCCAAAAATGGCGCTACATTTTTTTTCTCAATATGTGTCTGTTGAAACCCATCTAAAAATAAGAAACGAAAAGAAACTAAACCGTTACAAATGCTATATTTCTTACACATCCCAGTTTCTCCCATTTTTTTTTTGTTGTTCTTTTTCTCAATAGATGTCTCTGTTGAAACCCATCTAAAAATAATCCAAAAGAAAAGAAACTTTACCGTTAAAATACTATGTTTCTTACACATCCCAGTTTCTCCCATAGATGGCGCTACTTTTGTTGTTCTTTTTTCTCAATAGATGTCTCTGTTGAAACCCATCTAAAAATAACCCAAAAGAAAAGAAACTATGCCCTTCTAAATATAACATTTTTCTCATACCCTTCTACTCCCACAGATGGCGCTAATGCAGATAACTATCTATTTTCCCCAATAGATGTCGTTGCTTACGAGCCCCGTTTCCCTAACAATAATCCCACCTTCTCGCACCTCCCGCAGATGGCGCTGGTGCAGAGGACTCCGCCGCCGTAGTAGGAGACGGATGGCGCATAAGGACGCCCAGGACAGGATCTCTGAGGATTAGGGACGCCCGTGCAGAGGACAGCGGGAGGTATATGTGCCACGCCCAAAATGGAGTCAACCCGCCCATCTCAAAGACCATTTCGCTCACTGTTCTTGGTGAGTTGGCAGATAAAAGGGTTTTGTTTATATGTGGTTGTATTACGTGTTTTTATCGTCTTATTTATATTATAAGAGCATAAGATGGGATAATTAATGCATTTGGTAAGGTTATATCTTTTTTAAGAGAGGCATGTACACAGATAGACAGATCAACAGACAGGCAAACAGGCAGACAGATTAACAGACAAATATTAAGAGACGAACAGATAGACAGACAGACAGACATGCAGAGACAGATAGATGGACTGATGAAAAAAGAGAAACACCAATGGACAGAGCAGAGGACTGAGAAAAGAGAGAAACACCCAATGGACACAAAACAGAGATAAGAAATAGACATACAAACAGAGGCAGATAGAGACAGACAGACAGATAAACAGTCAAACTGACAGGTGAGACCAGACAGCCAGACAAACATACATCCAGGCCTATAAGCAAACAAACAACATACATCCAAACAAACAAGGCCTATAAGCAAACAAGAATTAAATATTACATCCAGGCCTATAAGCAGATAACAAACAGAACGCAGATAAGCAACGGCAATCAAACAAACATAAACGATAAGCAATACATCCAGGGAATTACTAACGGCCTATAAGAGGGAGCCCCGTGGGGGGGCGCGTACCGAAAGCGAGGGTGTTCTGTGAGGTCAGCCTGCCCTCAGCCTGCGGTGTCCTGCGCGCGGCGACCTCCCCATCTCCTTCACGTGGGCGAGGGACGGCATCACGCTCTCAGGTGGGGCTTTGGGAGGGCGTGGGGGGGAGGGGGGAGGTTTGGATTTTTTTTACTTTTCTTTTTCGTTTTTTTTTCGTTTTTTTTTTTTTTTTTTTTTTTTTTTTTTTTTTTTTTTTTTTTTTTTTTTCTTTTTTCTTTTTTTGGGTGTGGGGCATTTTCCCTTTCTTTGCATGCTTATTTTTCCAAATTGTTTTTTTTTTTCTGTGATTTTTCGCATTTTTTCTCTCTTTCCACGTATTTCTTTTATTGTTACATTCCTTTTTTTTTTCTTTCTTGCATTTTTCCTTTCATTTTCTTTTGGCGTTTCCTTCCGTTTTAGTTGTCTTTGTATTTGTATTTTCTATCTCATATTTATCAGTTTTCATTCTTTCTTCCCCTTCTTTACTTTTTCGTCTTGTGAATATAAGTCGTTTGACAGAAAGTCCAAAATTGAGACTATCATTTTCCTTTTACTGTTTGTGATACCATTATTATATCACTATCATTATCATTTACCATTTTCATTATTGCTTTTTCTTGCTATTGTAATTCCTAGTACTATCCTCTTCATCCTCACGTCGCCATCATTATCCTTCTCCTCATCACCATCGTCATCATCATCACCATCAGTACCACCTTCCTCATCCTCACCATCATCTTATTCCCAATCTAATTCCTGATTGATCCTCAAATTCCTCCTCACCAATCCTTCCCTTTGCTTCCCTCCACTCCCCTCCACTCCACTTCATTTCACTACCCTTCTTTCCCCTTCCTTTCCCTACCCTGCCCTACCCTTCTTTCCCCTTCCTTTCCCTACCTGCCCTACCCTTCGCTTCCCTACCTCTCCCTCCTCCTCCACCCTCCCTACCTCCCATCCACCTCACCATCCTCTCCCCTCCCTCCTCTCCTCTCTCCCTCTCCTCCTCTCCTCTCCACCCATCCCTCTCCTCCTCTCCTCTCCACCCATCCCTCTCCTCCTCTCCTCCTCTCCCTCCTCTCTCCTCCCTCTCCACCCATCCCTCTCATCCACCCTCCCTCCTCCTCTCTCTCCTCTCCCTCTTCCACCCTCCCTCTCCTCCTCTCCACCCATCCCTCTCCTCCTCTCACCCATCGGCTCCTCCCTCTCCTCCTCTCATCCCTCTCCTCCTCTCCTCTCCCTCTCCTCTTCTCCCTCTCCACCTCCCTCTCCTCCTCTCCCTCTCCACCCATTCTCCTCGGTCCTCTCACCCATCCTCTCCTCCTCTCCCTCTCCACCCATCCCATCCACCTCTCACCCATCCCTCTCCCCCTCTCCCCTCCACCCCCTCTCCCCTCCACCCCCTCCCACCCTTACCCCCTCTCCACCCAACACCGACCTGTCTCACGCCCCTCTCCCCCCTCGCCCCACAGGATCGGGTCCTTCCGGCATGGAGTTCCGCGTGCAGGACGGAGGCAGGACGTCGGTGCTCCTGATGAACCCGACGACCCGCTCGCACGCTGCCGTCTACACGTGCCAGGTCGCCAACCGCTACGGCACCGACTCCAGGACCTTCTTCGTCAACGTCGTCGGTGGTAGGAGGGCGCGGGGAAGGAGGAGAGGGAGGGGGAGGGGAGGGGTGGGAGGAGAGGGAGGGGAAGGAAGGGAGGGAGCGGGAGGGGGGAGGAGGGAGGAGAGGAATGGGAGAGGGAAGTAAAGTGAGTGTGTATGTATGTGTGGTGTATATACATAGGTGTGTATATATGTATATATATCTGTGTGTGTGTGTCTTTATATAGCTATATAGGTATAGATATATCCACGCATCTGGCCCCTGCCGCCGCCGCCTCCGCGCTCTCCCCAACAGCGGCTTTCTCTTCCGGCCAAAAGCGCGCTGAATGAAAATGCCAAACTGTCAGGGAAAAGTCACGTCCTTCACGCCGCCCACTCTGACACGCCCCCTCGATCTGACCCCCCCCCCACGCCCACAGAGAGGCCGGACCCCCCCGCCCACGTGCACGTGAGGGAGGTGACGAGCCGCCAGGTGTCGCTGGCGTGGGCGCCGCCCTTCGACGGGAACTCGCCTCTCACCCACTACATGCTGCAGCACTGGCCCGCCCGCGGTGTCACGCCGCCCACGCCCACCAACACCACACTGCCGCCCGACCTGACGGAGGCCACGCTCAAGGTGGGGCTCAAGCTCGATTTTTTTTTCTTCTTTCTTCCTTTTTTGTGTGTTTCGAAGCGCGATTTCATGGCAATTTTATCAGAACGCTCCCTGGAATTCTCTTTTCATTCTCTATTTTTTTCTTCTCTCTCCCCCTGGGTTTCTCATTGAAAAACTGGAATATGATTGTCGTTGTCATTGGATGCGATGTGAGATTAGGTGCAGGTTTTTATCACAGCGCTCCCTGGAATCAGGCATTCTGTTTTTTCCTCCTGTAAGAGACAAATCATTTTTTTTTTTTAGAATGGACTTACTCCCGCACGTACATATATATATATATATATATATATATATATATATATATATATATATATATATATATATATATATATATATTACAATCTCCAGAGTAAGAAAATCACTTTTTAGAGCGGCACTTTCATCGCAGCCATTTAAGAAAGAGAAAACTTATTCACAGCGACCTAACCCCTTCCTTCCCCCTCCCCCTCCCTCCCCTTCCCACAGGGTCTCTCCCCCGGCCAGGCCTACCACGTGCAGGTGCTGGCAGTGAACGCCCGCGGGTCCTCGCCGCCCTCGCCCACCCTCAGCATCACCACCCTCCAGGAGCCGCCCACGGCGCCGCCCACGAGACTCCGAGCCAGCGGGCGCCAGCAGGCCACCATCAGCCTCTCGTGGCAGGTCAGGACTCGAGAGCTGCGGGTCCCCGGGCGATGGCGGCTCGAAAGGCCTGCGCTCTCTCGCCTTTATATAGCCATCTGTCTGTCTGTTTGTCTATATTGAGTGTCTTTCTCCTTCATATATCGATCTGTCTATCTATCTTAAGTGTCTTTCACTCTCTATCTATCTGCTTGTCTGTCCATCTCTCTGCCTCGCTCACTTTTAGCTCACTTTATATTTCTCTCTCTCTCTCTGCCTCTCAGCCTGTCTTTCTCTCTGTGCGTATATCTGTGTGCGTGTCCCTCTCTGCCTGTGCGCGCACCTGCTTGTGTCCTAATGTATGTGTATAGGTAGATAGATAGAGATAGATATAGATAGATAGACAGACAGATAGATAGATAGACAGATAGATAGAAATAGATACATACGTATATATTAATCATACATTATATGCAAATACACACACACACCCTCCCCCCCTAACCCCCTCCCCCCCAGGCCCCAGCGGCGCACCTGAGCCCCGGCGAGGTCTCGGGCTACCAGGTGGGCTTCCGCGAGGCTGACGACGGCGAGAGCGCGGAGTACCGGTGGCGCAGCGTCCGCGGGGGAGCCATGGCGGCCGAGATCAGCAACCTGAGGCACTACACCGCCTACAGCGTCACCGTCAGGGCCATCAACCAGGTGGGCGCCGGGCCCTCCGCGCACCCCGTCACCGTCACCACCAGCCAGGGAGGTCGGTTGTGTTTGTTTGTTTTTGTTTGTGGGTTTTTTGTTTATTTGTTTATCCATTCATTCATTTTTTCCTTTTCGCTCACTTTGTCAGTAGCATCGAGAGAGTTCAGTGGTTGTTTATTTTTTGTTTGTTTGTTTCACTTGTTTATTTGTTTTTACTTGTTTATTTGTTTATTTTCCCGTATATAATACCTTGCAAGAATAATTCAGTGACGATGATAATGAAAACAAAAACAAAACAAAATAGACAGATGGTAATGATAACAATTTTGATTAAAAAACATGAAAAAGATAGGTTCATGAATTTAAAAAAAACATACAAAGAATAATTCGGGGATAAAGATGGAAATACTTATAAATAATAATAATAAAGACACTTGCAAATGATGATAACAAAAGGCGCTTAAAGATAATAACAGTAATACAGATGCTTTCATAAGATAACTATGATAAAGACAGACAGATGACAACCCAGATGATAATAATAATACCGACACTTGCAAGGGATACTACTAATAAAGGCACTTACAAATGATAACACGAATAAAGGCACTTATGAAAGATGATAATAGTCAAGATACCTACAGTATCCCGATAATAAAGACACTTCGCAACAACAGTAACAAAAACACCAACAAATGAACCGAAAAAGCCCCCCCGGATCTCAACAGCGCGTCATAACCCCTCTCCCCCCCCCCCTTCTCTCCCCCAGTGCCCTCCGCCCCCCCGAAGGCCGTGCAGTGCGACCCCCTCTCGTCGCAGGCGCTGAGGGTGCGCTGGAACCCCCTGCCCCTCAACCTGTCCAACGGGCCCGTGCAGGGATACAAGGTCTACTACAAGAGGACCACCAACATTGAAGGTAAGCGCTGAGGGCTCGTGTGCCTTCTTTCTTTCTTTCTTTTTCTTTCTTTCTTTCTCCTTTCTATCTTTTTCTTTGCTTTCTTTCTTTTCTTCTTTTCTTTCTTTCTTTCTTCTCTTTCTTTCTTCTCTTTGTTCTTTCTTCTTTCTTCTTTCTTCTTTTTCTCTCTTTCTTTCTTCTTTCTTTCTTTCTTTCTTTTCTTTGACCACCGATATTGAAGGTGGTTCATGTCCAGCACATTAATTTGTCTCAACCATGAACCACATTGAAATTAAGGCCAATGGTTTCATTCACGCTTTTTTTTAATTACTTAATTGATTGATTACTTTCTCTGCCCCCCTCCCCCCCACCCTCCCCAGGTTCGAACGCCGTGGAGGTGAAGCGAACCACGAACCTGGAGACGAACCTGCAGGGCCTCGGGCGGTTCACCAACTACAGCGTCCGCGTCTTGGCCTTCACTTCGGCTGGCGATGGAGTCATGTCCGCGCCCACCTTCTGTACCACGCTGCAGGACGGTACGAAAGAGGAGGAGGAGGGGGAGGAGTGGTGATGATAATGATGATAATGATGATGGTGATGATAATGATGATGATTGAGGGTGGTGGTGGTGATGATGGTGGGGGTAAAGTTATGGAAATTGTGAAATAATGGCTTGGTTTGAAAGGCTGGGTTTGTTGGGATGTATATATTTAGATAGATAGATAAATTGATAAGGATGTATATATCAATAGATATGTAGATAGATCTGTCTCATTCTTCTGTTACTTTGTCTACCTCCGCATTTCCTTGTTTTATCACCCTCTTTCATCTCCCTTCTCTCATCACTCTTCTAATTATCTCACATCATTTATCAATCTAATCTCCTTTTTATCCCTCTTCTCTCTCCTCCCACCCCTTACTCCGTCTCCTTTCCTCCCTTCTTCCCTCCTTCTTCCCTCCTTCCGTACCCCCTTCCCACTCTCCTCCCTCCTCCCTCCATCTCCCCTTTCCCCCTCCCTCCCATCCTCCCTCCTCCCCTCCCTCCCTTCCTCCTTCCTCCCTCCTCCTTCCCTCCCTTCCCTCCCTCCTTCCCCTCCTCCCCCCCTCCTTCCCTCCCTACCCTCCCTCCCCTCCCCTCCTTCCCTCCCCTTCCCCCTCCCTCCCCCTCCCCCCTCCCCTCCCTCCCTCCCCTCCCTCCCTCCCTCCCCTCCCCTCCCCTCCTCCCCCCCTCCTCCCTTCCCTCCCTTCCCTCCTCCCTTCCCTCCCCTCCCTCCCTTCCCTCCTCCCTCCTCCTACAGTCCCCGGCGCGCCCTCCGCCATCCGCGCCCTCCCCGCCGGACGCGACGAGGTGATGGTGTCCTGGCTGCCTCCGTCTCGCCCCAACGGCGTCCTGGTGCAGTACACGCTGTACTACAGGCCCCTCAACGCACACCTGGTACGTACCCGGTGGCGCTGGTGTTGCGGTGGGGGTTTCTTTGGTGTTGTGGCTTCAGGGGAGGGTGTTGTAGGTTGTTTGGGGGGGGGGAGGGGAGGAGTCTGCAACAACACTTCTCTGGTGTAATAATGACGTGGGTTGGTGTTGGTTGTTTTGGGGGGAGTTTAAAGATGCGGGTGATGGGCGTACGTGTGTGAAATTTGTGTTCTTGTTTTTTTTTCTAATATGAGTAAATTGCTTGCGGTACTGGGAATATATATTTTTTCTTACGTTTCAATCTCTGCGTCAATCGTGTTGGGTTTGTACTCGACGGTGCATGCTATTTGATGATATTTGATGACACTGCCAATGCACAGGTGATTAAGATTATTCTTTTTTAACCCGCCACTTCCTTCCCGCTTCTCCTTACTCCTTCCTCCTCCCTCCATTCTGCCCTCCTTGTGATTCCCTTTCGCTCTCTTCCTCCCCATTTCTCTTCCTCCTATTCCTTTATTCATTATCCTTTCTTTTATTTTTCCTTGCTTCCTCCTTCCTTTCACCTCTGCTTTTCCCTTCTCTTTCCCTCTTCCCACCAACCCTCCCTCCACCTCCTTCCTTCCCCTTCCTCCTTCTCCCTCTCTCTCCTTTCTTCCTCTCTACTTCCCCTCCTCCCCTCTTTCCTCCCCTCTTTCCTCCCCTCTTTCCTTCTCCTTCCTCTCCTCTCTCCTTCCTCTCCTCTCCTCCTTCCTCTCCCTCCCTCCTTCTCTCCCTCCCTCCCTCTCCCGCTCCCCCTCCCCTCCCCCTCCCTGCAGGCCACCCGCGACATCGCCGTGACCGCCGACGTGGGCGCGGTGCCGTGGGTGGAGCTGAGCTGGAAGGTGGGCGAGCTGGACGCCCACGCCCGCTACGAGTTCTGGGTGACGGCGTCGACGCGGGTGGGCGAGGGGGCGGCGTCCCGGGTGGTGTCCGAGAGCCCCTCCACGCTCGGTAAGGGGCCGACCTCCTTTTTGGTTTTGGGTTTTATTTGGCTGCTTGTTTGGCTGTTTGCGGCTTGGTGCTTTTTTGCTTGTTTCGGGTTTTATTTGTTTACTTGTTTTTGTTTGTGTCGTGTTACTTTTTGTTCTTCTGTTTTCCGTTCTTCCTCCTTTCTTCGTCTTTTGTTTGATCCATGTTACTTTTCTGATTTCCTTTTCTCTCTTTCTTTTATTATTTCCCTTTCTTCATCGTTACTTTTTGTTTAGTTTTGTTTTTTACTTATTTTTTATCATTATTTCCGTTTGTCTTTTCTTTTCTTTCTATGTCTATGTCTTTCTTTTTGTTCTTGGTTGCATTTGTTGTTCTTTCTTATGTTTATTGTTATTATTGTTTGTAATTATTCTTCTATTTTCCTTTTATTCTTTCCTTTTCACTTTATCTTTATTTGTGTTATTGCTGTTGTTTATGGTTGTTTTAAAAGCAGCTGATGACTTGCAGTTTGAAAAGTTCTTGCCTTTGACACGTAAGTTTGTTGGACTTTTGAGAAATTACGATTCCTTTGGGAAAAAAAATCTTAAAATGTTTTTGAGGTTTATTTCCCTTTCATGGGAAGTTGTCGGGATTTTTTTAAATTTTTACTTTGAAGTTCATTATTGATTTTTTTCTCATCTTTCCTCCTCCTCCTTTTCTTCTTCTCGTCTGCATCGTCGTCCTACTTTTCATCCGATTCCTTTTCCATTCCCCCCTTTCTCCATATCTCTCTCCTCTCCACCTTCCCCATTGTTCCATCCCCTCCTCTCCCACCTCCCTCCCTCCCTCCTCCCTCCCTCTCCTTGCTCCATTCCTCCTCCCTCCTCCTCCTCCTTCCCCTCCTCCTCCTCCTCCTCCTCCTCCTCCTCTCCTCCTCCTCCTCCTCCCTCCCTCCCTCCCTCCCTCCCTCCTTCCCCTCCCACCTCCCTCCTCCTCTCCTCCTTCCCTCCCTCCCTCCCTCCCTCCTCCCTCCTCCCTCCTCCTCCTCTCCCTCCTCCCCTCCCTCCCTCCTCCCTCCCTCCCTCCCTCCCTCCCTCCCTCCCTCCTCCCCTTCCCCTCCTTCCCCTCCGGTCCCGCCCGCATCAGGTCCTTCGTCAGTCGTGGAGGTCCGGGCGGGTTCCTCGCTGACCCTCCCGTGCGCCATGGTGGGGTCCCCGCCCCCCTCCGTCACCTGGTCTCACCAAGGACGCGACAGCTCCCTGCACGCACAGGTAAGGAAGAAAGGAAGGAAGTTGGGAAATAAGGAAGTAGAGAAGTAATGAAGTAAGGGTGAAAGAAAGGAAGGAAATAAGGGAAAGTAGGGAGATTTAGAAAGTAGGGAAGTAAGGAAAAAAGGAAGAAAGGAAGGAAGTAGTGAAGTCAGGAAGGAAATAAGTAGGAAGAAAAATAAGGAAGGAAGAAAGATAGAAGGAAAGGAAGTAAGGAGGTAGGGAAGTAAGTAAAAATAAAAGAGATAAATAACTAATTAAAAGATATGATAAAGAATAAGTAAATAGAAAGTGTGATAAGAAATGAATGGATAAGAAAATAGATGAGAAAAAGAAAGGTGATGATGATGATAATGAATAAGTAAAAATATATATATTATAATTCGGTTAAATGGGAATTAGATGTGATTGATATTTAGCACAGGTAAGTAAAAACAAAGAAAAAGGATAAATATGAAAAAAAGAAAGTTGTATTCGGTTAAATAAGTGTTGGAAAAAAACTGGATAATAGTGTGTTTTTTCCTCTAACATTGTGGATGTTGTTAGTTGTTTGTTGTAGCGTTAATTAATTGATTTACTTCTAAAACCCCTCTCCCTTTTCTCTCCCTTCCCTCTCCCTCTCCCTTCCCCCTCTTCCAGACGCTCCCCGACCACTCCCTGCACGCCTCCGTGGTCACGCCCGACATCGCCGGGAACTACACGTGCCACGCCCAAAACCCCCACGGGCGTGACGAGGTGACGTGGGTGGTGCAGGTGGTGCAGGCGCCGCCCCCGCCCACGGTGAGGGTGCAGTATGCCACCGAGACGGCCATCCACCTGTCGTGGGACACTTCCGGCGACGGAGGGAAGCCCATCACAGGTGAGGGACGCGCAGGGAGGCTTGTTCTTGCTTTTGTTTTTGTTTGTGTTTGTGTTTGTTAGCGAATTAGAGGTGAGGGAGACAGGGAGGGGGTCTCGAGAACTGTTCTTGTCTTTGTTTTTGTTTATTTTGCGTTTGTGTTTGTTAGCGAATAAGAGGTGAGGGAGACAGGGAGCGGGTCTCGAGAGCTGTTCTTGTTTTTGTTTTTGTTTTTGCGTTTGTGTTTGTGTTTGTTAGCGAATAAGAGGTGAGGGAGACAGGGAGCGGGTCTCGAGAGCTGTTCTGTTTTTTGTTTTGTTTTTGCGTTTTGTGTTTTGTGTTTGTTAGCGAATAAGAGGTGAGGGAGACAGGGAGGGGGTCTCGAGAGCTGTCTTGTTTTTGTTTTTTGTTTTTGTTTGTGTTTGTGTTTCTTAGCGAATTAGATGTGAGGGAGACAGGGAGGGGCCTCGAGAGCTGTTTTTGTTTTTGTTTTTGTTTTTGCGTTTGTGTTTGTTTGTTTGTTAGCGAATAAGAGGTGAGGGAGACAGGGAGGGGGTCTCGAGAGCTGTTCTTGTTTTTGTTTTTGTTTTTGTTTTTGTGTTTGTGTTTGATAGCGAATAAGAGGTGAGGGAGACAGGGAGGGGGTCTCGAGAGCTGTTCTTGTTTTTGTTTTGTTTTTTGCGTTTGTGTTTGTTTGTTAGCGAATAAGAGGTGAGGGAGACAGGGAGGGGGTCTCGAGAGCTGTTTTTGTTTTTGTTGGCGAATTGCAGGTAAGAGAGGCAGGGTGGGAGTCACTCTGGGAAGCTCTTGTTTTTGTTTTTGTTTGCAAATTACAGGGGGCAGAGTCGCTCTTGGAATCTCTTATTCTTATTTGTGCGTTTGCTTTTGTTTTTGTTTTTAATTTTGTTTGCGATTTACAGGTGAGAGGCAGAGAGGGAGTCGCTCCTGGAAGCTCTTATTTTTGTTTGTGTTTTTGTTAGCGAATTATAGGTGAGGGAAACAGGGAGGGAGGATCGAGAGCTGTTTTTATTTTTGTGTTTGTTTGCAAATTACAGGGGACAGAGATGCTCTTGGAAGCTCTTGTTTTTGTTTATGCTTTTTGTTTTTGATTTTGTTAGCGAATTGCAGGGGAGAGAGACACGGGAGGGAGTCCTGAAATCCATAATAAAAGTAGTCTCCCAAATCTCAGTTTACTGTATATTTTGTAGCCTAATCGTCTAGTTCTTGAGAGAGCTAAAGCCTGCCTCGGTGACAGCGACCTCATCTCACGACCCTTTGAAAGCCCACGACAGGAAAATGCCCTTTCTTTGCTCTCTCTCTCTCTCTCTCTCTCTATCCTTTCTCTCTTCCATTGCCCTTTTTCTTCCTCCTTTATCTTTTGTCATCCTCGTCCTTTATTTTTTCTTTATCCTTTTCCCTCTCTCTTTATCTCTCTTCCATCTCTTTCTTTATTCCCTTTTCCTCTTTTTTATCACTTTTCCTCTTTCTTCATCCCCTCTCCTCTTTCTTTATCGTTATTTCCTATCTCAGTCCCTTTCCTCCTCTTCCATTATCCCCTATCCTCTTCTCTCTTCCCTTCTCCATGATCCTCTTTTCCTCCTCCCTTACCTTCTCCCTCTCCGCCAGGCTACGTGCTGCGCTACAGCCTGGAGACGGACAAGGCGTGGGTGGAGGAGCAGGTGGAGCCCGGGGAGACGAGCCACGCCCTCGAGAACCTGCGCTGCGGGTCCACCTACCGCGTGCAGGTCGCCGCCGTCAACCTCGTGGGTCGAGGCGAGCCTTCGCAGACGGTCAACACGAGGACGCGAGGAGCTGGTGCGTTGGGGTCTTTAGGGGGTCTTTTGGGGTCATCTGGGGGTCTTTGGGGGGCTTTGGGTCATCTGGAGGTCTTTTGGGTCATCTGGGGGTCTTTAGGGTCATCTGGGGTTCTTTAGGGAGTTTTGGGGGGTTTTTGGGTTCATCTGAGAGGTCTCTGGGGTTTGGGGTTTGAGGGCAAGGTGTGGCTACGAATAGGTATGGAAAGCTAGCTGTGATTGATTATGGAAAGGTAATGATTAGTTATGAAATTATTAGATATGGAAAGCTGTCTATTTATGGAAAGTTAACTGTGATTAGTTATGGGTAACAACGTAGTCCCCAGTTTAACAAGAGATTGAGAGTTTTTGTAAAGTTGAACTTGCCAGAAAACACTATGAGATCGAGGTGTTTAGCTTTAGATATTGTATAGGTATTGATTTGGTATGAATTAGGATATAACTAAGCAAAACAAAAACTACAAACGGTAAATTTTGAGTCCATTAAAACTCGCGAACTCCAAACTTTCATCTTGTTCTCATTAAGATTAATATTTCACTTCATAAATTCACTCCCCCTTTTAAATTCTGAATGTCCATTCGAACTCAGCCATTCCAAAATATCAACTTTTTCTGATTTTTACAATTCATATTTCACTTCACTAAATCATTCCACCTTTTTGTGTTTTGCTGTTTGTCTTTAAGGGACTAACCCCCCCCCCCCCCCCCCCAGCCCCCGCCAGCCGCGCCACCAGGACCTGGTGAGCGTGAACTCCTCCGCCGTGACGCTGCACCTGTACACGTGGCCGACGGGGGGCTGCCCCATCACCTGGTGGCGCGTGGAGTACCGCCCGCACTCCGAGAGCTCCTTCACGCCCGTGGCCACCCACCTGGCGGGCGCCACGGACTCCATCACCCTGCCCAAGCTGGCGCCGCTCACGTGGTACCAGCTGCGCGTCTCGGCGCACAACGCCGCCGGCGCCGCCACCGCCACCTACGACGTGGCCACCGCGTCGCTCATGGGAGGTGCGCCCTCGCCGCCCTGCCTGGCTCTCGGCTTTGTTTGATTGATCTGACTTGCTGTTTGATTATTTTCAAGTTTCTTTTCTTCTGTGTTTCGCAAAATAGGAATCAAACAAATGTATTTTTCCTTTCTTTCATATTTTGCATAATAGGAATTAAGCAAGTTTTAGTGTGTTTCCTTTCTCCCAGATCTTGCAAAATAGGCTCTAGAGTCTGATTTCCTCCTTTCCTGTTTTCCTCCTTCAGTACATAATAAGGGAAGCTCGTCCGTCTGGGCGGTGTGTGAAATCTGGGTTTTTTAGACGTAGACTTTTTTATTTTCTTTTTTTTCCTCATTTTGCTTTCTCTTTTTATTCATTCTCTTTTACCCTCTTCTTATCATGATCATTCCTCCCTCTTCTCTCATATCGTCCTTCATCCGATTTCTTCCCCCCTTCTCATCACCTTCCCTCCTCTCTCATTTACCTTTTTCTCTTTTCCTCTCATCTCCTCCTTTCTCCTCTCCCTCTTCATCTCATCTCTCCTCTCTCATTTACCTTTTCTCTTTTCACCATCTCCTCTCCTCTCTCACTTACCTTTCTCTCTTTTCCTCTCAGCCCCTCCTTTATCCGTTCTCTCCTCCCCCTCCTTCTTCTCACCCCCCTCACCCCTTCCGTCTCCCCCCGCAGCTACCCTGGCGCCGGAGTCCGTGGTGGAGGTGGTGGAGGGCAGCGGCGCGCCCCTGTTCCTGGACCCGCACGTGCTGGCCCCCATCGTGTCCGGGGTCGCCTGCACCCTGGCCCTCCTGCTGTGCGTCGGCCTGCTCATCTCCAGAGGGTGAGTGAGGGAGGGAAGGGGGGGAGGGGATGGTAGGGAAGATGCGGGGAGGGAGAGAGGAGAGGGAGTAGGAGGAGTGGGATGGGGAGGTTGGGGAGGGGGTAGGGGAAGGGAAAGAAGGGGAGTGGGGTTGGGGAGGGGGAGGGGGGTAGGAAGAGGATGGGGAGAGAGAAGGGGGGATTGGAGTAGGGGGAGGGAAAGAGGGGGAGTGGGGCGGGGGTTAGGGGTGCGGGATAGGAAAGGGAGGGAGGGGGAGAGAGAGAGAGGAGAAAGCGGGGATTTGGAGAGAGGGGCAGGTTCTGTATGGGTAGGGGTTTAGTGAAGGGGAGGGTTTGAGTAGGGATGGGGGGAGGGAAGGAGGAGGGAGGAGTGGGAAGAGGAGGAAGAGAATAAAAGAGAAGGGAAAGGAAGAGGGGTAAGGAGGGAGGCGGTGTTGGAGAGGAGGAAGAAGAGCTAATGGAACAGGAGGAGGAAAGAGGGAGAGATAAGGGAATGAGGGTGAAAGGGGAAAAGGAGGGGGAAGGGTGAGAGGGAGAGGGGAGAGAGAGTGAAATGATGAAGAGGGAGTAACAAGGAAAGAGAGGAGATGGGAGGACAAGAGAGGAAGGGGAGAGTGAAGAGAATTTGAGAAAGAGAAAGTTGAGGAAGATGAAGAGAATATAATGACAAAGAAAAACAAAGAGAAAAGTGAAAGAGAGGGAACAGAAACATGAGAAGAAAAGAGGGGGAAAAAGGGGAAGGAGGGGATATAGAGTGAGAGCGAAGGAGACAGAGATGAGAAAATAATCACAAGGATAATAAAATATTCCTGAGCAGATTATTCTATTAAATATATATATATATATACCGTATCCAATATTATATCCTGCCAGCTGACAGGTCCTAATGCTCAGGAATATTTCATTACTCATGTGTAAATGCCCGGGGAATAATACGCTGTGTGTGTGTGTGTGTGTGTGTGTGTGTGTGTGTGTGTGTGTGTGTGTGTGTGTGTGTGTGTGTGTGTGTGTGTGTGTGTGTGTGTGTGTGTGTGTGTGTGTGTGTGTGTGTGTGTGTGTGTGTGTGTGTGTGTGTGTGTGTGTGTGTGTGCATGTGTGTGTGTGCATGCGTGTGTGTGTGTGCATGCGTGTGTGCATGCGTGTGTGTGTGCATGCGTGTGTGCATGTGTGTGTGTGTGTGATGCGTGCATGCGTGTGTGTGTGATGCGTGATGCGTGTGTGTGTGTGTGTGTGCATGCGTGTGTGTGATGCGTGTGTGTAGCGTATGTGCGTGCTTGCGTGTATGTGCCTATATATAGATTTGTGTATGAAAGTACATATGCTTGTCGAGTGCACGTACAGTGACGGAAAAAAGTCTCTTAATGAACTGAAGCCTCGAATCTTTCTCGCCCAATGCAGAACGTGTGGTATTAGGCTGATGTTAGAAATATGTTTCATAAGAGTTTCGACCGTGACTGTACCTATCTCTATATACACATCTAGACCCATACACACACACAAGCACACAACCCCACTCCCACCCCCTTCAAGCCCTCCAACCGACCCCCACCCCTCCAACTGAACCTCCCAACCCACATAAACCCCCAGCTAACCCCACCCCCTCCGCCCCTCCCGCAGACGAGCTCGCTTCATGAAGAACAGCGGCGGCGGCAGCGGCAGCGGCGGCGGCGGCGAGGAGCGGCGGAGCAGCGGCGGCCCCACGTACTCGCGCTCGCTGGCGGAGATGCAGAACCACCGCAACGACAGCCAGGAGCAGCTGTCGCCCGCCGCCCGCGCCAAGCATGAGGAGGCCTACACAGGTGGGTCGCGGGGAGCAGGGTAATGGGCTCGATTTGCTGAGGGAATTATTGTCGCTGTCTGTTTGTTTATTTGTTGTTTGTTTGTTTGTTGCTTTTGTGTCTGGAGGCTTTCGCAGGCGGGTCTCGGGGCAGAGCGGACTCAGGACATGTTTTTTTTTTTTATTATTGAGTGGATATTGTTGCTGTTGTTTTATATATAGATGGAGGGTTTTGTTTCCTGTTCAGTGTCTCGGTGGCCTTCTGTGGGTAGGCCTTGGGCTTGGTTTGGTAATAAGGAGTTTTTTTATGTTTTGTTCTATGTTGGTTATATTATGCATATAAATGTATGTATATTTATTTATCTATCTATTTATTTATTTATATGTGTGTGTATACATATATGTATCTATGTTTATACGTTTCTGTTTCTTTTATTCTCGTGAGTTTTCACAGTAAAGCTATAAATCCAGCTACCACAACAAAATCACAATCACTGTATCTCAAGATTTTTTTCTGTCCTGCAATAAACTGTAAACCTAACAACAGCAGCCAATGAAGACCCCATCAGCCCCCCCCCCCCCCCCCGTCTCTACCAGGAGCGAGGCATCGGAGGGAACCGCGGAGGCAGGGGGGGGAGGAAGGGGGCGGGGCGAACACCTGCTGGCGGGAGAGGGGGCGGGGCCTGGATTATAGCTTTTCTCTTAGTATTTTTTCTATTGTTCATCTTGATTTTTTTGTTTTGTTTTGTTTTTGTTTCTTGTTTTTTACTTTTTTTATTATATTAAATTATCAATATTATTTTTAATATTATATTTTACTCAGATGTGTTTGTCGTGTCTGCTTGTTTTACTTGTCTCTCATTCATTCTTAGTTTATAATTACGATTTCCTTTATTCAGATTGTATTTTAATTAATATTTTTCTTTTGTAATTTCTACTTTACGTTGTCTTTTCATTCCCTGTTTGTTATTGTTTATTTTACTCAAATGATAGTTTGTAATTTCATATCTTTTTGTCTAGGGATTTCTAGGCTTTAGATTATATATATAGCACTAAAAGGGTTATAAACTTCTAAATTCTTCTATTTTTAAGAGGTACCTGTAATCTTTTAATTTTTCTTCAAATAGATAAGAAAAATACTCGTTTCGTATTTAAATCTTCAAAATATATCAACCGTAAGATATTATTTACAGGAAATGTAAAATGTGAAGTCAAACTTTTTTATCTCTCTCTCTCTGATATTTATGACATAACTCCCAAAACAGAAGGTAGGTTTTTTTATTTCACTTTATTATTTTCTCTTTCTCTCTCTCTCTCTTCTTAAAAGTGAAAAGGGCCCACAGACAGCCTTGCATTTGCTGCCGTTGCTTCAGGTCTTGTCATAAACTCTATTTTTTCATATATTTAAGGATAGACTTAACCCATTCAGGAGGTGCTGCTGGGTAACCTCGCTATATGTCTATCTGTCTGTCTATATATTCACCTATGTCTCTGTGGTTATCGGCCTTTGTTGCTATTTCTGCTACTTCTTCTTCCTAAACCTCTTTCTCCTCCCCCTGTCTTTTTCCTCGATCGTCTCTCTCCATCTGTTTCTCCTTTTTCTCCTCTTCCTCCTCCACCTCCTCTTGTTCTTGTTCTTCTTTTCCTCCTCTTTCCCTACCTCTTATTCCCCCACCTCTTCCACTTTCTCCTGCTCCCCCTATTTCTCTCCTTCTCATCATTTCTCTCTTTCTTTCTCATCTGTCTCTCTTGCATCCCCTCACTTTCGTTGCCTCCACTTTCCCTTCCTATCTCCCAATTTCATAGTCTTTCTTTCCTTCTCTTTTGTTTTACTGCCTTTCTTCTCCTCTTCTTCCTTATCCTCTTTCTCCTTCTTTTTATTCTTCTGTCTTCGTAACTGAACTCTTCGTATATGGATTTTTTATACAGGTTCCATTACTTAAAATCAATGACTTGAAGTAATACTCTTTTCTCATTTTAGTTTTATTAACTGTGGAATTAAGTCTTCCTCCATTTATTTCTCTTTTTTTGCCTTTAATGGATTTAGTTAATTCTATTATATATTTGCTTATTATTCATTGTTTGCCTTTGTTTCATTTGTTTAGAGGATCTGTTTCAAAAATCAACCATCTTTTTTATAATCTACTGTGTTCATTTTCACTTCATTTTCATCATCTCTCTCTCTTTCCCTCCGTTTCTTTTTTTAAGATAATACAAATTGGCGTTTTATTTCTTACAAATGAACAAAATAAATGTGATTTCAATATTCTCTGTTGGATGTTAGAATACCATTGTATTTGTTGACGTTCCTGGAAAGCCATTGGTTTCATAAAAAAAGACGTGAACGAGCAAAAAAAAAGTGTTCCGAAAATAGTTTTGATTTTGCTAATATGCTGTGTTTGATTTTAGAATGTTGTTAAAGAAGCTTGATGATGATGACGATGATGATGAAGGATTTCTGAACGGATTTTTGAATGTCCTTATTGTTGGTGAAATGATTTTGTGGTATTTAGTATTTAATGAAGATTAAAAATTGAAGATGTAAATGGGAAAAAAAACAAAAATCAAGAGTGATTTCAAATTCAAAAAATTTATTTCTCTTTAAGACTCATCAAGTAACTTCATCAGTGTCAAGAAATGGCATTAGGGTGAATAAAATGTTTACGATATTGGGTTAGTATTGTGTAGATTGGAATGCCTTTTATGCAGAATATACTTGATTCAAAATTTGATACATACGAATTTTTAAAAACATATATATATATATTATGTATATATATATATATATATATATATATATATATATATATATATATATATATATGAATAAACAAATGAATTATTTAAAAGGCTCTCGTGACGCTTGAATTAATTTATAAGAATAATGGACGTAGTTATTGCAATGAATACTTATGAGAAACCGATCATTATTTCACTATAATAGGAGCAAATATCTCTTACTAGATGAACTTGATGTCACTGAATATGATCTGATTATTATAAATTCCGTTTCGACCATTATTCACAAAAGCTAAGATAATTGCATGTAACTTATTGTTTTTACTTCCCTTAAACAGCCAATATTATTGATTTTTTTTTCTTTTTTCTTTTATCGATATTATTAGTAGCTCATAACTACTTTATTTTGATTGTTAATGAAATTTTGTTATAATAATGATTATTTCCACCATTATTACTATCATT